CAGAAAACAAGACATTTCCTACAGCTCTGGAGAGTGCCACACCACACTGGCATTCCCAAACTAGCAACAGGACAAGCCATGGTGAAAAAAGCACATGGCACTTGAGAATGGAAGCTTGAAAAACAAAAGGGAGGAATGTGTCATTTTAAATCACTCTCTATCACTACAATCTGACAATGATCAAACCCAAGGTAATGGTGTAAGACCTTTCCCACCAATAGCTGGGGAGGCACGTGGGATCTCATCACCTGTAAGGACGGGGACATCGTGTGTTTCAACAGACACAGGAACACACTGGGTACCTGCCACGTGTGTCCCTCCTGCCCTACAGCCTGCCTGGGGCCACAAGCAGCATCCCCCAAGAGCTCCTCAAGAGACGTGGTGGAGCCATGAGCAGAACAGTGATGGAGACAACTTGTTCACCTCCCTCAGGGACATCTGGGACTATTGAAGTGATGGCTCATTGCAGAACTCAGTTTGTTTGTAAAATGTTATTCTGTTTACAATTGGTATTGTGTTTGCAAATTGGTTTTCTAGAAGTTGGGTATTTGCTAATGGCCCTAAGGGTTAAATGGTTTATTTTTTTAGTGGCAAGTTGTAACTCTAAGTAGTTAACCTGTGGCCTGTTAGCCTGAAGGATTGTGATCTTGCCTAAGAGCTCCTGGAAGTGAGTGCTACAACTCCAGGGGTACATGAGACATCTCTGGCTGAGGGGATCCATGCTTCTCAAATTAGGTCAAAGGCCTCCTTCAAATTAGAGCCCTGCTGCCTTCTGTCACCATGGCTGCAAAGGGCCCATGCAGGTAGGATAACAGAGAACACTTTGCAATTTTTAATAAGAAGAAAAGGAGGAATTGTCATAGTGCAGCCAGTCTGTAACTGGACATGGTAACACAAATCCAATTCAGCTGGCCTGGTGTAGCTCCAGAAACAGATAAACAGGTCCCTGGATAGGTTAGACTCCAACCTCTACAGGGGCCCCTGAGGCAAGCCTGTTCAAGCCTGGGTGCAGATGCACCACTGGCCAGAGGGCAGGGTGGAGAGAGACCCCAACCAACCAGCTGTTTAAACCCGGGAGTCTCAAACCCCCTACATAAAAATCTT